CGGGCGGCGCTTCCCGGCCCTTGTGGCTGAGCCCGACAGCGCCGGCCAGAAAATGGGGGGGACGGCGGGCGGGGGGAGCGATGCGTCCTCGACTCTCCATCTCCTAAAATGGCGCTGAAGAGCTGGGCCTGCTCGTCCTGGAGTTTTGGAGGCAGCTGAGAAGGCTGCGCCTGTCGCGTTGAACTCCGAAAAAAAATGAACCTTATTTCCTTCGGTCTGGCTGCGGCGGGAGTTTGGCAGCTGCAGACAGGGCGGCAGCAACTTCGTGATCTCTGTGAATTGTGAGTTTTAAGCGCTCGAGCAGCGCGTTTTGCCGACTCATGTTCTGTGTTCGGGTCAGCAGCCCGCAGCTCAGAGACCCCGGCCCCGTCTGCCTGCGGGGACTTCGGCCGCCCAGGTATTGTTGTCCAGCTTCTGCGGCGTTCGTGCTCAGTTTTTCCTGGAAATCCCATTAAAATGAGCCACGAACCCAGGAGTAGTATGCTCATGGCGTTCTGGCGTTAGTGTTGGAGTGGCGGCTATGGAAAGCTATTGTTTACTTAGCTGCATCTTCGGGGAAAATGTGTGGTCTGTGACTGCCCTTCCACCTGTGGGAAGTTTGCCCGCCTGCAGCTTGAATGCGAGGTGTTGTTCGGTGTCAGCCTAGGAGGGGTTATAAACATGACTCTGCTAATTAGAATGGTAATGTGGGCTGGTGTCCCAGTTGCATTTGGATTAAGACTTCTGGTAGTTTCTGTTTAAAACAATACATATTCACTATGTTTTCTGTGTATTCCTTTTGAAACTCCTTCTCACTCCTTCCTACTCCCCCTATATTGGGGCTTCTTCCCCCCAGTGGTTACAACTAAGTTAGTGCCTCAGTGCACTGAGTTCTGTGATGAAGCTGTTTTGAGAACTTCCTGAATGGTTCATTTTATACTGCAGCTCTTTTCTTTGTTATTTTATACATATTTGTCTTTTATTTTCTCTGTAATTGCACTTTGACTGCAGCCCCTGAGATGATGATACTTCTTAAAATACCATCTATTTAGCCTGGACTATTTCAGACTATTATACTCCCTCTATTTGCGAGGAGAAGAAGGTTCTGCAGAGTGGGATGAAACAGGATAGTGTGAGAAGCTGTTTTGCAAAATTCCAAAGGGAGACTTTTTTCTTGACACTTGACCTAGAATTAATTATCATTGCTCATCAACTTTCATCCTCTCTAGAAAGGTCCTAGACACAGATCACAGCTTCAAGTATAGCTTTAGAGTAGTTCACATCATGGAGGCCCATGTCACCATCTTATGTTTGTCACATGTGTTTTCAAAGAGGTCATCGGAGATAAGGTCTGATGCAGTCCAAAAGGCAGCTGTGTGGGCTCTCCATTGTGTGTGGCTGTTCTTTATGCCTTTGTGAAGATACTGAGAAATAACTGGAAAATTAACTTTGTCATGCATATGAATTGAAATGCAGCAAGTTTTCGTGCTGGTTTAAAAGGTAAAATGGCCTTAACTGCTTTAATCCTATGAATAAGCATCGATGTAATCAATTCTTGCACTTTCACTAACAAAAGGCTTTGCATTCCCTTTCATTTATTGTTAAACTGCTGGCTTTTACTTTTTCTTGGGAGATGGTGACTTGAGATCTTGTGTCTAAATCACTGAGAAGTCTTTCTCGGTGCAACAGTGTAACTTCCGTAGCAAATCGGTCAGTCACCTCGGCAGGAAACCCTTAAGATCAAGCATTTCCCAAGTGTGCCGTATGTGATAATTTTGTGCAAAGAGCAGTAATATCACACATCTGATATCATGGTATTTTTGCTTAGAGGCTTTTGTAATGAATTTCATTTACACATTTCTTTATCAAGTGTCCCATTCTATGTATAAGTTTGGGGGAGGTTCTGTTCACTGTTTATGTGCCAGTGGGTGTGTTAAGTGTAGCTGTCTGATGAATAATCAGACTTTTTTTTTTTTTTCCTTTGCTGGGGATTTACCCAAAATTTCATTTAATGGTAGAATAGTAGTATAGAAAATTCTAATTATATTGGTTTGAGATGCGTTACTTTTGCTCATTAGATCTTTTTTTGCCTGGCAAGAACTTTTATAGGAGAGCACTTTCAATCCTAACATCTCAGCCTAGCTGGATAGCTATGCACTTTCAATTCTGTCACTGGCTTGTTGACAAATAATAGTCACAGGGGAGTTGTTAGGTTGATAGTATATCCTTATATCTATCTCTACTAGATTCTTTCTGCTTAAAACATCTGGGGGTAGACTCTGAAAATCTTTGATTTTACCTCCTCACTGAAGTCCTTTGAGACTTTATATGTAAGGGTATAGTTTGACAGCTGACTCTCAGTGGCAGTACTGGTTGAAAGCACTTGAGTTACAACAACAAGCTGGCAACAAAATAAGGAGTCAGAGGTGTCAAATCTGATTTTGATTAGTGTGTGGCCTGACGGTAGTTGTGCTGGCACATTGTGGATAGGATGGAAAGGCTGCACTTACACACCATCACTGCCAGGAAACTATGCAAAGCTTTCCAAAAGGTGTAGTCTTATGAGCATTTTGTTGACTACTGTATTTGGTTAAATAGCCTTTCTTGCCCTTGAAGTGCCAATACATTTGATGAACACACACTGTGAAGCAAATAAAGGAATTGAACTAAACCTAAACTTGGAAAATACTTATTAACACAGATCAGTTCCCCAAGTTACAGAAGCTTGTGGGTGTGGAAGTTGGGAATGGGAATAGACAGGAACTGATTGAGCTATATTCTCCTAGTTTCTTGTGCACCTGCTCCCTGGCAGAACTTGGGAAACTGGAAAGCCCTTCACTTAAAATGATCATTACTTACTTCATTACATTACTTCAGCAAAAGCTGAAACGTTACTGTGTTATCAACAGTATTCTCATACCAAGTCCAAAACACAGCACTGTACCAGCTACTAGGAAGAAAATTAACTCTATTCTAGCCAAAATCAGGACATTAATTTACAGAACTATTCACTTGCTTTAGGAGGAAAGAAATAAATCCTTTGCTGGATTCTAGTGAAGTACATGAGAAGTGATGCTGAAGTAGCATGAGACTTTATGCTACTGCTGCTGTTTCTGTCTTAAAACTACATGAGGATTGTTTTGAGTTGCTGCATCTGCAGTGCAGCAAGGAAGGCTAGAGGTGAAAGGACAACAAATCTATCACAGAAAACAGTTTGAAAAAAAAATGCAGATGGAAATGACAAAAGTATGTGAATTGAGGCTAATCAATGGAAAATTGTTGAGTTCCATAGGCCCTGGATCCTAAAAGATTATTCATAAGAGTCTGTTATATTTATGGTGTATGGGAAAATGTGTAGAGCTGTTTGAATTCTTGAACAGTGGTAGGAAAATGGTATATTTCTATTTTGACTTACAACAAAAGATGGAGGAATTGTATCAAAAGACTGAATTTAGTATTTACTTCTTTAGGTTGCCTTGATCTGAGGTGTATTTTCTGCTCATAGACATTTCCAGTTTTGGAATGTCTAATGTATGGAGAAAGCACTTAGAGAGATCTAATCAGATCAGCCATGTGGGGTTTTGTATGAAATTTTTTGAAGACTTGCAGTGGACCCTCATTGTTGTGAATGGTAAAGTTTTAAATACTTCATCACCTAAGCAATCTACTACATACAAGAAAGTAAAGTCTAGGAGTTTGCTTAAACTTCATGAATAATTAAAGAAAACTGTATTTAGCAGGTATTATATGTGTTTCCTTGGTAAATGACATCTGGAAACCTTTCATATAGGTGTCATGTGCAAAATTGGAATATTTGCACCTAACCTGTAAGTCAGCTCTTTAGTTATATGCATCTACTGTTTACTTGCATATTTTTTAATCTAAATAGTGCTAATAACACTTTCTTTAACAGTGAATTACGTCTTAGGAAATAAAGAAATGGATGGGATGGATGAAACATCTAAAAGAATCCTAGAGCCATACCAGTATTTGCTTCAACTACCAGGCAAGTTTCTCTGTACTGTGTTGTTTTAAGTATCAAAATTGGTTTTATAGCAACTTTTATCTTGGGAAGTATAAGCCAAGAAGTTTTGCCATTCTTGATTTGTGTATTTAAGAATAATAAAAGGCAACACTTTAGAGTTTCACTTTTACTTGTTCTTTCTCTTATGGAACCACCTTTTTTTGTGAAATTGGTACAATAGCTCTTGTGTCTGTAGTAATATTGTCGTATTTATATTGCAGTTGTAGTAACTAATATTGCAGTTACTCTGTTCTCCAGAATAGCTGACTTACTGCTTTTAAAAACTGATCAGGGCAATTACTGAAAACTTCATCCTGGTTTTAAATTCAGGGTTGACAGTGCTTTGTTCCTTAGTTGCTTGCTGTACTAAAATCAGTGGATTGTGGGTTTTGTTTTGTTGAGGGGGAGGGGTGTTGTTTGAGGGTTTTTTGTTTGGTATGGGGTTCTTTGGGAGTTTTTTGTAGGGTTCTTTTTGTTTGGTTTTGTTTTGGGTTTGTTTGGTTTTTTTGTTTTGGTTTGTTTTTCTTGGCCCGTTCCTCTGGTGTAATTTATTCTCCTTGGTGTGTGTAAAGACAGGTGCTCTTATGGCCAATTTCAGCTGTCCATATTTATGGATGACTTCACCTGTCAGAGGTTCAGGCAGTCCTTGTGTAGTACCAGGTCACCAGCAATACATTCACATGAAGTTTTTCAGTCTTGAACAGTATAGTAGAATTCAGGAGGCAGTTTGGAAGCAAACTACTGTATTTATATGTCCCTTGGAAGCCTCTTTGACTAAACAATCAGATTGCTGTGACTTTTGTTTGTACACCTAAAGTGTAAGAAAGACTATCAAAGTGAGTAATTTTGTAAAAATAGTAGTGGAACAACTTTGTCATTGGAACTACTGCATAATTGCCTGATCGCCTTCTGTCCAGCTTATGTTGCATGCTGAAGGAGTTAAGAAAGATACAAAATTTGGGTAAATATTAAGGTAATATTTTTGATCAAAATTATATCTGACCAGGGTAGAAGACCTTCTGCCTAGAGAAGTAGCATTATAAATCACAGGCAGAGTACTAAGTGGCTTTTGCATATCTACAACAAAAGCTGTATATCAGTAGGGTGGGTCCTCTGAGTCTTAATTCATTATACCTGTTTATAATGAATTTCATTATTAACCTCTATAAAATATCCAGGATTTTCTTGCCAACATTAGTGATTTCATTTAACTTGGCAGTTAGTACCCAAGTTGAAAACTAAGAAAAGGGAAGAATTTGGCAGTTGTGCACCTTTTTAATGCCAGAAGGCTTGTTTCCCATTTCCTCATGTGTATTCCTTCTGGCTGTATTGAACTGGATGGTGGTCTTTCTTGAGAACTACCTTGAGAACGAGTCTGTGATAGTACAGAGAGCTTTCTAAGCCCTGGTCCTGAAGAAATTTGCTTTCCTCAAACATCATCTTTAAGTCTACTTTTTATTTGATTAGATTATCTCATTACCAAGGAATGTTGTAACACTTCTGCAGATTTAGCTGCTAGTTGTTTTTGAAGCTATTGTAGATAATAGGAAGAAAAGCTCCTCTTCTTAGTAGGAAATAAAGAACGCCCAAAAAGTGCCCAAAAAAACTTCTATGGGCAAAAGTGCTTGACTAATAGCTCTTCAGTTCCTTCCACTTTAAATCATGCATCTAGAATATATGTTTAACCTCCTCACCTTGATTCCTGTGGCTAAATTCCTTTACTTTGTGGGTTCAACTGTAATAACTCTGTACTGTGGCTTAAGTAACACTACACTCACTGGCAGTACAGGTGTTTTATATCCTGTCCTGCTAAAGTATCATAAATCTGATAGTCCACTTTACCATGTTGACTTCTTGTTAATTTATGTATGTTTTGGGGAAGGTGAGAGACAAGATACACAGGTCTCTATAGAGCAGTAGCAGTGTGATTCAAAAGAGAAAACTTCTCTTAAACTAGACAGGTGAAAGTGGTGTACCTGTGGGAAGCTTGTACTGAGTAACAGGTGGAGCAGTGAAAGTTCACAATCATAAATAAACCATGTTTACTGTGTTTGAAACACTGGCTTTGCCTAAGGTCAGCTATGCCAACTGCAGATGAGTAGGAGCCAGCTTACATGTGTGAGTCTTGAAGTCAGTATGAGTACTCACAGTACCAGTGCTCAGTAAGGGTGGAAAAAATATAGGTGCTGTTTCTACCTAGAGTGGAGCTCAAATGAGATGCCTGAGCTAATCTAACAGGCTCTTGTTGAAAGGCAGTTTCATTCCATCCTCTTAGCTTCTGGCAGTATTTTCCTGCTGCTTAACTTGTACCGGTTCTCAGGTTGCTAATCAAATTATTAGGTAGTATCAATCACCTAACCTGTTAAAAACTTGCCTGGTTAATCTCCTGTCTTGTTAGTGAGCAGGCATAACATTAGGGACAAGAAGCTGTTTCTCTGTTGGATCAGTTTGAGCTCTGAGGGGCTTTGCAGAAAGCTTGGCTGCGTGTCAAATATGTACACTATGGCTCTACAGTAGTCCAGTTCCTTATCTTGAAAGACTAGTTAAACTCTTCAAGCAGTTTAGTAACCTATGGTTGAATGACTTTAGGTACATATCAAAGTTTGTTTGCATAAAAAGAGATTGTATAACTGTATTAAGGTGTGTAGCAGGGAATGGGAAAAGCCTGCAAATACTGTCAGTAGTGTAAGAACACAGATTTTTATAACTGCTAAGGATTTATTCCTCAGTACAGGAAATGGATTACTCTCCTTTGCTGAAATAAGACTTTTAATGCTGTCTTAGGGTGATACTTAAAGTAACCTTGTGTATTTCTTTGACTTCAAATAGTGCTTGGATAGGGAAACAACTAGGCTTAAGGTATTTTTAGTATAGTGCTGTTTTAATTGCTAGTATAGTAATTAATGTTCAGTCTGGTAATTAATGTTTATTCCTTCTTGAGCAGAAATTATTGCTTGAGAGAAGAACATAGATTCTGCAACAGTAACTTTTCTTGTAAAATCTCATTGTAGTGGAACATTGCCGTACTGGTTTTTAGCGATGTTCTGCTTAATCTACTATTCTGTCACTTTGTATCATAAAGTGCAGGACTGACTTTCGTAGATTGTTGTGGTTTGTCTCAAAAATGGCTTGATTCACACACATGGTAAATCTTTTATTTTTGAGAGTCTGAGTTAACAGCAGTACCTGATTTTGCAGCACTAAGGAGTTTATGGAAATTCAGTTGTCATACAACTGATATGGTAGTAGCTTGCTGTTGAAAGGGGCAGATTCTGATTGCATTCATGACTATGCATCTTCCCATTCTTGTCCTGCTGGTCTTGGCTGCAGTCTTTCCTGGTCTTGTTTAGCAAGCTAAACAGTCAAGACTGGCTTTGTTGTTCAACTTTTTCTGCTGGATTATTGAACTTGATCAGCCTGGTGAAGGAGTTAAGCACCACAGGCCCTGAACCCTACCACTTGTATAACTACACTCGGCACATCCAAGGCTTCCACTTGATCCAAGTTCCTGAAAGAGGCTGCACCTCTCTAGATTGTGAGCTGCAGGGATGCATGAGGGCACCCACTAGCCAGGAGCAAGTGATGTCCCTGCTCCTAAAGCAATGTAGTTGTGGAAAACCTGTGTCACCAAGCAAAGGAATGGTGGAAGGGGGTCAGCAGGCTGGCACAGCATCAGAAATACCAAAAATTACAAGACTCTACAGATTCAAGAATCTGAAACCTCCAAGTATATTGACCGGGGCGGGGGCGAGGGGCAGAAATAGTCTGTGCATATCAGGGTGGGAGATGGATACTCCTGCAGTGGTGGAGGCTGGTGGCCTCTGACACCAGGAGAGAGATTCCAGTTCCTTGAGCAGATGTGCAATTGCCAAGTAGGTTTAGTGCACTGAATGGTTGGAAGCTCTTTATAGGCCTTTTGTAACCTAAATGATTCTATGGTTTTATGCAACTAAACATCAGAACAGCGCCTGGGGCAGCAACAAGTGGTGAGATTGAGCAGATAGTGGCAGAACTGACTCCTGTAGGGAATAGAGGCTTCCACATGTGGTTTTGTGTTAGGGAGGCTTGCTGCTTCTGAATACCCCAATAGGGATGTGAGGGAGGGACTGCCAAGGTGTGTTTCACCTTTAAAATACTTAACATTACAGCTGTTCTACTTGAACACTAATGGATAGAGCAAGGAGGTGCCTGAAGCTTATCAAGCAAGACTGGTCTTTGGAATGAGGGCTAAGGGCACAGGAAGCCAGGTGGATCTTCTCTGTGATCCTCAGCCCCCTTCTCACCATCAGGAGGAATAAACAAATACCAGCAAGTTTGTTCCACAGCACATTCTGATAGCAGAGCTTTGGCTCTTCCGGCCTTGAGACCATCTTTGCAGAGCAAGAACTACCAGGAGGAAGTGTATAGGCTGATTTGAACAAGACAGTAAGTAATCTACAGATGAGATCTAAAGGCAAATCATCCCAGCACTCCAACAAGGAAGTACGAACAGAACTTGATAGGGGAAGCTCTTGCTTTTTCTGGGTATCTGCAGGTTTGGGTGCTTCTCTGAAGTGCCTTTATACAGATGCATACATTATTGGGAGTAAAAGGGAGGAGGTAGTTTGGCATGCAACTGCAGGACAACAATTCTATTGTTGTATAAACACACAGCTAGAGTGCTGCAATGGATGGATGTGGATGGTCTAGGAAGACAATCTTGGGTAGCAAGGAACGGGAGTTGCATTTTATGTAAAAGAGCAGTTGAATTGCATGGAGTTCTGCCTTCAGTCAGATGAGCCTGTTGAGAGCTTATGGGTTAAGTAGGATCCAAGGGCAGATCAATAGGGGTGACATTATAGTGGGTGTTTGCCACAGACCCCCTAAGCAGGAAGAAGATGAGAGCTTCAGACAACTGCAAAATGCTTCGTATTTGCAGGTGCTGATTCTTATGAGAGACTTCATTTACCTCACAGTGTGGTAGAAGAAGCATCACAGCAGGACACTGGCAGTCCAGGAGGTTTCTGTAATGAATTGATGACCTTTTGCTAACACAGGTGATCAAGGAGTGGATATAGGAAGGCATTATGCTGGACTTCCACTTAAAAAAAAAGAAGAATTGGTTAGGACATTAAGACTGGAAGCAACCTTAGTTGCAGTGACCGTGGGATAATGACATTCAGGATTGTGAGAAGGAACAAGGCAAAACTCAGGATCACAACCCTGGACTAGTTAACCCTATTTTGAGCAGAGGAGTTCTGCTAGAGCATTCTATCAGTGACCTTAATCAGGCACAAGTGCCTGCACAGGTTAAAAGTGTATGTGCTTGCTCTCTGCTTCTCTTCCTGCAGTTCACTTATGCTGTTTGTAGTGTTTTTGCAGCTGCTTGGAGAGGTCTGCTTGGGGCTTCATCCATTTAGTTTTAATCCATCAGAGGATGCAGCTAAACGTGCAAGTGTACAGTCAGCTGAGGTAACACAAGACCTTTCTTCCTCCAGAAGGGCAATGCCCCTTCCCCTGATCCTCAGCATCTCCTGCTCACCCTGTACTGGTTGTGGCAGATCTGCTGCATAAGCTGACTCAGTACATACAGCTGGCAGAAAGCGAATGTAGCAAAAAGCTGTCTTCTCTGCTGGGCTAATGAGTTGAATTAGCTGTAATGGGGGCTAGGTTAATAGTGCCTCTGCTCTTTCCCATGCTGTTCTAGCCTTTCATGTACCCTCGCTGTAAGTGGGGTGCTGCCTTAAGGGCATAATTTGTGGTTACCTTAATACAGCAAGAGTGAAGCAATACTAGCCAGGAGCCTGTCCAGAGAGGGGGTCTGTAGCTTTTCAGTCTGTGCCCTGTCACAAGAGCAAGTGTGTATATAAAGAGTAAGTTGGCTGATTTTTTTTCTTTCCTTTAGATGAGAATTTTCTCATCTGAAGACAGGAATGTCCTCAGTACAGCATCTTTAATCTAGCTGATATTTGTTTTGAGGCTAAAGCTTTAACATTCTTAGCTGTAGAAAGAATTTCTTTTTTATCACCTATTCCATGCAGCATTACTAAGGAGAAAAGCTTTCCATAGTTTTTGTTTGATTTGGGTAATAATTTGGGATCTGAGGCAGGTTAAACCAAATGCGTTTAGCAGAGCTTTGATAAAAGCTTGGTGCAGTAATGTCTATTATTATAGCTCTATACAGTAGGTAGAGCTTCTAATTTTGGATGTTAGCCCTCTATTCTTCAATTTTACAATAGCCTGCTTAGAATAATTAACAGAGTGGTGAAATATGACAGTGAAGAAACTGGATAATTCTGGCAGTGCTCCTTTTAGTTTTGTTCTAGTGTCTCTGTATTGTTGTCTTATCTAATTTGGGGAGAGGAGTGGTGTGGCAAGGAATGGACTTTTCTGCATCCAGGCTTTACAGACTGGTATTGGAGGGGTTTGGTCTTTTGCCATCACACTATGTCTGCAGGCATAAATTGTGCATAAAGATTGCTGTACTATTACATAGACCAGGTAAGATTGACTTCAGAGTCAGGTAAAATGGCATTTACGTAGTAATAATGTTCCTTTAGAAGACAAGCAAATCTGCATCTATGAAAGGAAAGATAAATGTCTCACTATACAGGTAGTTTTTTTTTCCTTGACTAGCCAGTGTCTAGGAAGCCTTGCTAGTCAGGGTAGACAAGTCTAACAATTCAAATGCTGTCTGTACTAAGGAACTGAAGTGGCTTAATTCTTTGTGCATGTTATAATCCATTTAGAGTGCATGCTAGCAGTCAAGTTCCTCATGATGAAATAATGCTTGTTGCTGAACATCCAGCATTCTTTAAGTGTATTTTCTAGGAAGCAGATTCAGAAAAACAGAATTAGCTGCCTAGTATAAAAAAGAAGGCAGGCGTTGTCCGCATCCAAATTATTTAGAAGACAATAAACAGCTGTAGATAAGGTACAATTCCCCAATGTAATATTATCTGAGTGATTTTCTTTATGAATCTGGCGGAATACTTGTTAATCCTTGACTGGTAAACCATACAGTTTGGCAGATATTTGTAACAGTTATTGTCAAGGAGATGCAAAACAATCCTTTCCTTCTGCAGAAAACTGTTAGTGTCTAAAACTGAGCACAGAAAACAGAAATGGAGAAAAGCCAATGGCAGTGTATGTCTAGGTAAGAATGCCTGTTCACATGTGGCAGAAGCAGAGGACAGAGCTGCTGGGGTGAAGAAGAGGAACATTTTGTTAATCATGTTTAGTGAAAACCAAAATACGATGGTGACAGGAAGCAATGGAAATCATTGAGAAATGAGACCAAGGGTGCAGACCTTTGGTCCAGGGAGGAGGGTTATCACCCTTGCTACAGAGCCCAGCTCACAAAGCTATTGCTTACCTGGGGGTGACTTAATTAAAAGGGGAAAAATTCTCAGTGCACTTTCCCTAGGGTCTGTCACTGCAAGTGAATTTACCCATACTTATTATTCTGTTCTATATATGCTGGTTGCACAGTCATAGAGAAGCCTTAGGGGGAGATTCAAATGTTGACATTTCTTTGGTGCTATGGGCAAGATGGAATTATCAACATGAGGTCTAGTATTGCAGAATGTCTCAAGTTTCGTCTCAGTACATCTTGAGTCAAGTAATGTGGGTTCCATGGGTGTCAATGCTGCACTGATTTGAAGTTTATTTAAAGCTTTTTCCAAATGCTTGTTTATATGAGCTATATATACGGAGCTGTTTTTGTAAACCTGTCTTGCAGCTATTCCAAGATATTATACATAGCTGAGCTTCTCAAAGTTCAGAGCAGAATTGTCTCAGTGTGGATAGGGGATGACTGTTTCATATTGAACATGACTAGATGCTGAATGGATATTTGTACATGGAAACTAGCAAATTTCTGAAGAAAGTTGACATCAGCAATGTATAGGTGTAAGGTTAACTTCTATTGAAATTCACTCTGTCATTTAGAAAGTATCTGTATTGAACAGAAAAAACTTGTTTTAGCACTAAACTTGGTCATTTGATGTTGTCTTTCATTCCTATGAAACAGGGTGACTGCCTGGCTCCAACAAAGTAGATTTTACCAAAGTACACCAAATCCTATTTGTGGGTAGATTTCTTGAGTACAATAAAAGTATCTGAATTCTTGGAAAGTTCCATTCTATTCAAAATGTTCTGTTCAGACTTTTGTTTAGAGTTATTTAGTAAGTGTATGAAATGTCACTTTCCTGCTTGACAGATTTACAGTAGCAAGTGAAGAATAATACTACAGGAGAAAGACCTAAAAATTGAGATAAATATATAGTCAACAAATAGCCATACTTTCAACTAATAATGAATCATAGTTAAAACTTTTTAGTCTTAAAATTAACATGCCTTGCAAACTAGCTGATCTGTACAGGATACTAACATGGTCAGGACCCCTTACTAATTAAATTGTAAAAATTAAGTATAGTAACCTGTACATTTGTACTTTACATATTCATGTGAAGTGTTTAAAACTGAAACAGCTAATTGATGTTTATTCAGTGAGAAAACAAGCCATGTGCTGATACATTTTCCACTTTTGTGTTGTCACACTAATCAGTTTTTATTATTGGGTCTCAAATCAGCTATAGTTGTTAAGACAAACTGTTGTGCCTAATAATGAACTCTGTTATTTTTATAAATAACTATAATATTTTTATTGTAGGTAAGCAAGTGAGAACCAAACTGTCACAGGCCTTTAATCACTGGCTGAATGTTCCAGAAGATAAAATACAGGTACTGGCTAATTATTTTTAAAAGGTTGTTATCTTTCTTCTGAGACCACTGGAAACAGATGATTCTCTTACATAGCATAAATTAGCAGATATCTTAAATGCATTGATTTCTGAATATAAAATGAACTTCCATGAAAACAACTTCAATGCAAAGCTTTTACTGTGATGCAACACTAAAGAAATTGCTTCCATGTCTTACTAGAATAGTTACATCTTTCCAACTTTGTTCAACCTTTGAAGCTGTAGATAAGCAGCTATCATTGTTACCGACTTAATGTAACCCTGTTATTAACACTGAGTTTTTAATGATTTACAAAAAAACCTAGACAGTTACCTTGTAGACTTCACAAATACAGTGTTTGAAAATAAAATCTTGGGATTTTGATACAAGAATATCAAAGACAGAAATTAAATCAACATGACAAACCTAAAACTGAGAGGGACAGATCATAGAGTCTGCAGTCCTTACTTTCTAATGAGACACATTATCTAGGAATTCTCATTCCCTTTTCTCTTGGACAAATTGTGCAAGATGCATGGCTGTGTATTTAAACACTGTGGCTTTTCAAATGAAAAATCATCCTCCTTTTTAGGTTAGACTGCAGTTTTGCTAAACTGCATACTGAGTGTGCAAAATATTTTCTGTCCAAGGCAATGTAAGGAATTAATATAATTGGTTGTGCCTTTTGACACACAGCTGGTCCTTTGTTAATTTCTTTAATTGTTGGCTGAAGTATCTTTGGACCTTGTGAAGGAGTCATTTTTAGGGTAGCTTAAGAGTGACACTTCATAGCTCTCAAGCAGCAAAGTGATTTAAGTGGTTTAAGAGGCTGCATTCCATAAGAGGCTTCATTCCATCTAGGAACTGTTCTGTGTCACTGTCTAGAAAAATTTATTGTCTTTCAGCTAGACACGTCTTATCCTTTGTGCTCAGACAAACATCCAACTAAAACATATAATATAGCAACCTGTGCATTGTATGTGTGGGTTTAATCTAATATCACAGATCAGAATTCAGATTGAAAGAAGCCTCTGGAAGTTATCTAGGACAACCCTGTACGTAAAGCAGAGATTGCCCTGTAGCTACTTTAGGCTTCTGGGAGCACTGTTCAGTTTTGAAAATGTGGTGATGGGGTTTCTGCAGCTTCCCAGGGTGTCTTCTTATGCTGAACCCCTTTAATTATAACAAACCCTTCCTTTCTGTTCAACTAGGATTTTTTTATGTTGCAATCTGACTTTTTTTATGTTGTCTGCTGCCCTTTTGCTGGGCACCCATGACAGTGTGGTCCATTTTTCCTCAGCACTATAGTAAACTAAAGCTGCAGTGCCTCTGTGTGAACAGAAATTACCAGTTCTGTCACTTTAAACTGATGATCATGTAACTGCTATTGAAAACTTGGACCACTTGTTTTGATTATCTTGATGAAGAAAACCAATACTTTAATGTCTCCTTTACCACTAAAGTTGTTTGTAATGGCAGGAAATAAACAAGACCATGTCATCTTTTAGTCTTCATCATGATGCAATTATTACAGCTTCTGTGCATTTTTGCTGATTTTAATAAATGAAGATGGTTGAAGTCTGGAGGACCACATCTGGTCATCTTTTTGACATCTTTCATAATCTTCATAAGATGTCTCCTGTGTCTAGCAGCCTGATTAATTTCCAGCTATTTGTATTTCTTTTTTTAAAAATCAGAATTCTGGCACTCATTCTGGGACTTTTTTTTCTTACCTTAGATGATACATTTGAGGCTACTGTTCCTTGGTGCTTTATTCTACCATTAACTGCCACTGTATCACCTTTTGCACCAACCAAGTGATCTCTTTTCCCAACACTTACTGAATTTCTAGTTCCCTTTTGGTGCTGCACTGAGACACTTCAACTTCTTGAATTAGAGAAGAGGTCAGAGCCTGGGTTTGTCAGGTGAACTTTTTTCTGAGAAGGCACTGAAATGGCCTAGCAAGAGTCAAGCAAATTTTAAAGCTATTGCAGATAAGTAGTGGAATAAACCTGTGTGTTGGACTAATAATGCAACGGATACTGATTAGATAGACGTAGGTTGTAAGAAAACATAGCACTCTGTACTGGGTCTCTTAAGCTTTCATTGTGGAGACCAGTGTTTTTATTTTCTCAGTCTACTTCCTGATGTTTTCTAAAATCATATTTTTCCAATATCTGAACTGTTTTAAGTCCTGTCCTTCACCTTTGAAGCACTTTTGACGCTGTCTTAAGTTCTCAAGGTAATTTGATAGAAGCACAGAGTCAGGAAACACTGTTCTCTTTAAACCATAAATATGGAAGTTCCAAGAGGTCATGAAACTGACAGTGATGTGAAAAACAGAAATACTAGAATAAGCTTATCCAGTGAATTCACAGAACACAGGGAAATGTTCCTGATAGTACTGAGAATGAGATAATTGACCAAAAGTATATTTAAACAAGTAGGTGTGTAAAGTTGCCTTCAGTAAGTACTTTATCCTGTGATTTCTTGAGTGTTTAAGTAGGTTGTTCTTGCAGTCATATCTTGGGAAAGGGATTAAATTGCTGGGGTATGAGTTTTAATCTTTGGGACAATGTTCACTGAACACCAGGTGGCTTGGTGCTCAAGAAAATGCTTACAGCAAAGTCCTTATTTTGTCCTACAGCACCCACCAAATAAGACAAGACTAGATATTTGCTGCCATTTTATGGTGGTCTTAGTATTTTTTAACAGTTGTTTGGATGAATGTTGACTGAATGCAATGTTTGTAGCTAAAGAGTATAATTGGTTCATTAGCGTTAAAATCATATCTTAATCAGATGTGTTTTGCAGTGAGTTTATACAGTATGCAGTTTTACGTGCTTAAATTTATTTCCATTTAAGCAGCTGCTGAATATACCTGTTGCTTGCGTGGCAGCTGTGGAATAAAAGCAGTGTATAGTGTTAAGACTCTTCATTTTTTGTTGAGTTGTTAAGGCTCTGTTCTACTCAAATGTAGTCAGCAGCAAGCCTAATGTTATGAATGGTTTGTTGCACACTTGAGGTGATGTGTGATATTGGTCTACCTAGTAACAAGCAGTGTGTAGGAAATTTCTCAAAAGAAATTGTGGCTGCTGTCTTCCTGCCAAGAATTTTCCAAATGATGTTTCAGAGGGAATAGTCTGTCCTTTAAGAGCTCAGTACTGAATACAACCACACAAAGCGTGGGAAAAGAAGGATGAACTCTCCACTTATCAAAACACAGTTCACAAGAGAAGTGTGATAATGGATGATACCTGACACTCTCAAGAACTGACTTTGGGAGCTTTCAGGTTTGTAAATCTAAACATTTCAAAACATTGTGTTTATTTTGTTTTCCCCTAGTCATGTTTCAAATAAGTTACTTCATGACTCCTAGACAATGGCTTGTTTTGAACTGTAGCAACAGTGAAGAGGGGTATGCAAGTGGAAGCACTTCAGGGAGTAAGTTAACTTTGAATCTGAAAACCAAGACTATGTGATCCAGGACTTACGCTGGATAGTGAAAAGAAGCGTAAATCTATACTAACAGTAAAAGCAATTTATCTAAAGAGGAACATCAGTGATAGTGTATATGGGTCTTTAAAACTATCCATTTTAAATACAGTCTTGCAAAACTCATGGTTGAATTATAGTGACAGATTTAACAATTTTCTCTTCTTGCAATAGGTTATCATTGAAGTGACAGAGATGTTGCACAATGCAAGCCTACTTGTGGATGATATTGAAGATAACTCAAAGCTACGACGGGGCTTTCCGGTGGCACACAGTATCTATGGAATTCCATCTGTAATCAACTGTGCTAATTATGTTTATTTTCTTGGCTTAGAGAAGGTTTTAACCCTTGATCATCCAGATGCTGTTAAAGTTTTTACCCGTCAACTTCTGGAACTCCATAAAGGTCAAGGCTTGGATATTTACTGGAGGGATACTTACACCTGTCCTACAGAAGCTGAGTATAAAGCAATGGTACTGCAAAAGACAGGTGGTCTCTTTGGATTGGCTGTAGGCCTCATGCAGCTGTTCTCAAACTATAAAAAAGACTTAAAGCCCCTTCTTAATACCCTTGGTCTCTTCTTCCAAATAAGGGATGACTATGCCAACTTGCACTCCAAAGAATATAGTGAGAACAAGAGTTTTTGTGAAGACTTAACTGAGGGCAAGTTCTCATTCCCAACCATTCATGCAATTTGGTCAAGACCTGAAAGTACTCAGGTGCAAAACATTTTACGTCAAAGGACGGAGAACATAGATATAAAAAAATACTGTGTACATTACCTTGAAAATGTCGGTTCCTTTGAGTACACTCGGAATACATTGAAAGAGCTTGAATCTGAAGCCTATAAACAAATTGAATCGCTTGGGGGAAACCCTGAGCTTGTAGCACTAGTTCAGCAGCTGAGCAAAATGTTCAAAGAAACAGAAAGTTAAAAAATTAACTTCTGGGTGTGGATCAAAACTTTTGAAAATGGGAAAATAACCAGATGGAGAAGTGTGATAATCAGTTTGATGTAAAACTTTCTCTTGTAGCCATGTTACAGAAGTTACTGTTAAAAATCACTTGTCATTGAGTTTTGAAATATATACCCTATAATCTCTAAAGTCTTAATTGTAATTGCTTACAGTTGGTTTTGTTAAAGCAGATCCATAAAGCAGAACCATAACTAAAACTAGTTTTGAATGTAAATATAATAGTCTTTACACAATCACAGGCATTATTTCATACCTAAAAGTCTTGTGCCCCTAACCAGGCTCCGATAGTATTCTGGTTGAAATTCTGTGTTAAATCAGGTTGACATGTATATATTGTAATTTTAAACAATGCTCTTGTAAACCAAAATCTGTGTTAAAAAACAAAGGAAGGTACTTGCAACCACAATGCACATAAAATTGTTGTGTGATATTTCTAAGTGTGACTTGGGAGTGGAGGCAGATCAGTTTACTATGTCCTAGGGTGAATGTCCTATCCAGTTTCTGTGGATATTTTCAGGGGAATGTAAATTATGAAAGATGTTATTTCATATGCAAATAAGACATGCTCAGTCTGAAATTGTGACTTCATAAAGATTTTGAAGTACCTTGGAGGAAAGACTTCTTCACATCAGCAAAGTGTAAATTTGCTGCTGATTCCAGCTCTGCAGTGAGTAATTTTGGTCACCTGGTTTTAGATTTTGAAATTGTCAAACATTCTGTAGCCAAAAACTTAAATCTATGCATTAGAATTCATATATGTACCTGTAAATAGCAACATAATGAGCTGCTATTAGAAATGGAAAGGGATTCACACCAGGTAGCTTTAGGACACCATAATTGGTGCAGGTCTCTTTAATCTCTGCTTGTAATTGAGGGGCTTCTCCAAGACTTTATTCATAATTCATATTTCATTACTGTACTGAATTGCAGTCTGGAGGCATGTTCTATATCTCTCCAAAGAGACAAGAGCTGTCATTTTTTTGTTAAAATGAAGAACAGTATCTTGTTTCACAAGTTAAAATAACACTTCAGTTTTGCTAATTGCTTAGAGCTTTAAAATTATAGACATACCAAAATAAAACTGGGACTGAGAGTAAGATTTAGGGGTGGGGCTGATAAGTAACAAAGTTCTCTGCTCATGTGTATATATATATATATGTATATAAATATGTAGAAAAATGTTAATAAAATGTTAGCAGAGATGTTTAGTTTTTTCTTGCCTGGGCTAGCTTTAATCAGGTTCTGTTCCCTTGGTATTCACAGGTATATTAAGTTATGCTTTGGGGTAGCAAGGTAATGGTTTGGATCAAAGGTAAGACTGGTGCTATAAGCTGTGGTGTTAGCTCAAGCATACTCTGAAATGGGTATAGAGGTAGTTTGCTTCAGATGTCTAAAGGATAGTTTTATGCAGGTGTTCATTTACTGTACCTGAAAAACAGGGATGGCTGTGATCTCAGCCCACTGAGAAAACTAACTGGAGAAGGTTGCTGTAATGTCTTCCCTGGGCAGCCTTAATATCTTTCTGAAAGTGATCAAACATGACAAAATTGAGGATGACTGCTTTCAGTCTGAAATATTATGTAGTTAGGGATGATAGCCTATCCCTTTTATCTGCATGCTGAGGAGAAATCTTTGTCTGATTAGACACAGAATAATAGGCTTTTCACTGAATGGACCTGGTTGCCAGGACTGAATAGCTTAAAGTTGGTGAAAGGCATCTTTAATGTTAATGAAAGAGAATTGTAATTCCATTTTCATAACTTGCAGTGCTTAGTAAGCCTGTAAATTTTTAATGTGTTGTGTGAAAATTCTATCTGCAGCAAATTACATTTATTTTGTGCCATGTCTTGGGAGTTTCTAAGCACTGTTGCAGTTAATGTTGAATAGGGGAAAGCACTGAAAAGACTATTGTTGTCAGGAGAATCTCCTAGTCTTACTGTGAAATGTATCCTTGTGCCTGTTAGGATATTGTAACTGCAACACAATGCAAAGTGCACTTAGTGCCATTTCATTTCTGTTCTGTTGCTGGATGTAAACAGTTCTGTGTAATCAAACTTTCATAATGAAGTAGCTTTTCTTACTCTTTGTATGAAGTTTTTCTACCATCTGAGATTTCTGCTATGTCATCTCTCCTTTGTTTCATTCTGACAATTCAGCCCAGTATTTATTCTAATTCTATATCTTGTTAGCATGTGCCTTCATTAGGCATAGGAACGTGGATGTTTTCCAGTTTCAGACCATTTAAGCTACAAATGAGTAAGAAGGGAAAAGTTGGTCCAGCTTTCTTTTCCTGGGTTACAAGAGGCCATGCAGCTCTGTCTTCCACGTCTGCCTTCAAGGTTTTTGATGTCAGTATTCGAAGTCCCACAAGTAGAGCATTGCTACTCTTCACTTTGGTTAGCATAAACAGGATTGTGAGAACTTTTCTTGGTGTATTTGGGAGTTGGAGAGGCTGAGCTATTTCCCCTTCATCTGTTAAGGATGCTCTGGTAGAGCATCCTTAAGCACTAAATGCCAGTAGTAATGATGTCCCTTAGTCAAGGTAGATTTTGTATTTGGTGCCGTAAGATCAGTCTGTGCATTTTCATCAATATTCTCCAATGTTATCATGGTACTGGTTCCTGAGGTTTAAGCAATGTTAGGGAAAAACCCTTCTTTAAAGAAGCATGTGAGTTCTTGTGACTGCAGAATTAGTTGGTGTAAATGCCCCTCTCTGTTGCTATGCCTCCCACAACACAGGGAGTAGGGATTTCTCCTGATCCTCATCAGGATCAAGTTGCAAGTGGAGATGCCCATGGGGAAACAAAGCGGATGCTGGTTTCTATGTCAGTCCTTTTGAGCCAGAATCATTCCCCTTATGTCCCTACCATTGCCAACAAGTTCTACTTTGATCAGGTTATTAGTGCATTTCTTGGGAGTTTAGTTCTTGCAGTTCACATTAAGAGAAATGCAAATACTCATCAGTCTGGAGCATTCCTCACTACCTCAGTCTGTTTTCTGATTGTGTGCTTGCTTGCATATAAATGAATGCTGTCACCTGTCTTAGAGTAGCCAGCCATTGGATGGGACATCTGCCTTGCTTTTGCATAGGCTTATGTTTCCCCATCAATTATGATGAAAATTGCATCATTTAAAGACCTTCCTGAGGAGATAGCTTTCTCCTCTCATTTTGAACTCAGGTGATTCAGGTACCCACTCAGAGCAACTTTGTATGTATCAGCCAGTTGTTGATACAAACAACATAGAAATGTTAATGAGGAAGAAACTGTTGGCGTTTCTTCTGGTTTTTTGTTAATTTTACTAATCTGGCTGCATGTGCTATGGAAATTTCCTATAGTAATGGCTGTTTTCCATGGTTAGTAAAATGCTAGCAAGGTATAAAAATGTGAGATTTGTGAGGGGGTTTGCATTTCTCATGTAAAATCGGTTTGAACTTCAATATGCCTTTATCACTGAATTGGGTCAGGCTTTTATTCATGTGCAAGAGCCATATGGTCATCTGTTGCTCTTCTTTGTCCCATCTTAATCATTTTATATTTCAGGTTTGGTATTTACTATGTTCTTTGTATTATTTGCTCAGTACTTTCACTGTAATTCTTCTTTCATCTATATTTCTATTCTGCTGTTAATACCAAGCACACATAATACCATCAAACTCAGTTTTGATCCTGTACAAACATAATAGTCTGAGTCTACTTTTGAAATGTTGAATCTTGGCTCATCATTCACCTTCAAAAAAGTAATCCAAGATTAATCCAAGATTTTCTGCAACCTCAAAATGCCTGAAACTTTTTTTCCAGGAAGGTAAAGCCTGTAACGTTTTATATAACCATAAATTATTTTTTGTCTCATGTAGCTTGAGCTGCTTTCCTTGCCCTACCTGCTTGCTTTCAGGATCCATTTTGCTTCGGTGGTAATGCCTGTTAGGTCTTTTTATGAATGGACTTAACTCACTAGCCCTGAGGGAGAGAAGTTAATTTTTCTCCAGGTTAATGAATTATCCCACTCAGCAAGAGCCTGATGAATGTCAGAGCTGGCAGGTGGACAAAGGCCAGGGAAAGGATTTGAGAGAATAAGAAAACTTTTTTTTCCTCCTGAGGCTGCCTCATGTGATTTCACCTTGTTTTACAGAATTTACTTGACTTTGTTAGGAAAAGCTAGAGTGCATGGTTAGTTTCTGAGTTTCCCTTCTTGCTTTCCAAATAGACTGTGAGAGATACTTAAGTTTAAAATTATTTATTCTGATAATTATTTATGTAACTTGCATATATCAACTGAAGTTTTTGATTAAAGGTACATATATAACAGTACATTGTTTCATTATGGTATTTTTCTTTCTCTTAACAATTTTTCTGTCCTTGAAGTCAGGGAAACATAATCTGCCATATGCCTATTAGAGTTGATTACCTCAACATTAACATCCTTCCTGAATAAGTTTTATCATAGCTGAGCATCAGTGTTCAACCTTTTCCACAGTACTTACTTTGAAATTACTTCAGATTCACCTTATTGAGGTGTGGCTAGGAATAATCCATGAATTATTAACTCACTTCAAGCATATAATCTGCAAAACTTCTAATAAAGATGCAAGTTAAACCACATTAACCCTGATAGTGTTCCTCACCTGTGTACCCTGTGGAACAAGTAAGCTCTCAGTTAACCTCCTGAGAAAGTATTTACCAATCATCTCTGTTTAGTACAGCATAGAGAACCATGGGAGATACACCAAGAAGGCCTAACATGACACTTCATGGACACTTCAGTTAGGGAAAACACTGCAAAACCTGACATGAATTTGTGTATGACTAAATCTGAGGTGAAGGGAAATCAGAACTCCAGGAAAATGCTCTACTCATTGGTATACGAATTACATGCTGACAGTTAAGCAGCTGCATCATCTCTTGAGCACAGTAGGTCATTTTCACTCTCTTCATAATGCTTCAGTTGCTGTTTCTAGAGCATATAGTGTGAGCTACTTAATCACTCAGTAATTACTGAAGTCTGTAAAATGGCAAATGCATACAATTTGTTTATGTATTTTGAAATACATAAAAACTCTCCTATTCTCTTGCAGTCTATGTTACTCTGCAGGGAGCTTTTGTTGGCTGGGAGGCATAACCTTTCACTGACTGAACATTTAACATTGAAACCAGGCTGATACTAAGCATGTGTGAACAGATTAGAGGAGAAAAAAGGTTTTCAACAAAAAAAACCCCCAAAGTTCTTTAAAAGTAGAATTTCCTATAATTGCAGAGTTAGTATATGAAGCATGGAACTAACTCCCAACATTTTTTCTGTGGTTTTGACTGAAGAACCTGTAACTGTTTTCTTTATTGGGGTGGGATGGAATGTACAGGTCAAAGTAAAAGCCATATGGAGAAATTGTCACAGAAATACAAAAACTTTGCTACAAACATTATCTTTTATATGAACCAGCATAAATGTTGAATAAATTCAGAAGCTATATCCCTTTTTACATAAGTGCTTATAAAATGCTGAAGTTGTAATTTGAGGTAATGAGGTGAAAATGTTAAATTGGTCTAGTTGTTTCATTGGCATTGGGACTGTCCTGTTCCTTGTCAAGTACAGATCATGAACTATGACTACTGAAACAAGAAGTGCAAAGAAGTAGAAAGAAAAAGCAGGAAGTTATACTATTCTCATTATAATTTTAGAAATAATACATAAAATGGACAATATGCATGTTAGATTCTGAGAACGGCTGGATTACATGTCAAACTAGGAATAGAACAGGAGCAGCTGGGATCAGAAAGATCACAAAAGTATTTCTTGTTTTCAATGCCTTTCCTGTCAGGCAGTACACAAAGTGGAGGATGCTCTCAGCTTTGACCTTGGGAACAAGTGGAGGAGTCAGAAAAGGAGAGCATGAGGGCTCACTTGTACCACTATCCATGTGGCTTCAGCTATATGGCTTGAAACTGGAGCAGATCGTTCCAAGAGTGCCCTCTGTGGGAGATGAGTGGGCTTAGGAACCCAGAAGAGACAGCACCACCACCACCAAAGATGTGGAAGAAGGACTAGGGTGTCTGTTTTCCTTTAATTCTACTAGTTGGTCTGAAATAACACATTACCTGTGGCAAAGGAGTACTATAAAATAAAGGCACAGAGTTCTTTGCTGGATTGTCCCTTTGGGGAGTAGCTGCTGTGTACAAGACAGTGAAGCACACCCTCAAAGCCTGTTGCCTGAAGTTGCAAGCTATCAACATGCTAAAGAATATAGAGTATCCAGATTATTTTGATTGGAATGTACTAATGTTACGAAATACCCATACCTGATTTCTGTACTAAGTATCACAGACTAGTGAAGTAAAGGAGACAGAGGCATAAAGAGTACTAATATGCTGCCTGCCAAAAGAACAGATTTAATGTAATGAAGCCATGGGACTGAAAGGGCTGTTTGATTACTTACTGTCATGATTGTTCCAGTCTTGGTGGTGCCAACATCCAAATGATGTTGTCTACATTAAGCTGTTATGAGGCGTTGAACTGTGAAACACAAGAGATTGAAAAACATCAATTAGGATACTTTGATTTTTATAACCACAGCTATTAGATCTTGCCGTACCCATCTCTCTAAAACTGAAGTGCTCTTAGTCAATTTCTGTTCCTCACCGACTGGTACTAGAATACAGTCAGGTATTTAATTTTTTGCTGTTATCCTACTCACAGTGGCCACTTCGATTTGTACTTTTTATAAGTTGTGTTCGCGTTACGAGTCTTCTCTGGATTCCCCCCGGGGGTCTTCTCCCCAAATACTGCAAGTTGAAATAAATGCAGCAACAAACGTAGCAGCTTACAGGGGACTACAGCTGTGGGTTCCCCTCTCCCGGGGGTGCTGCGGGGGAGCTCTACTGCTCAGCGAGAGTTCTCTTCAGCCGCTGCTCCCGGGAGAGCCCCCCAGCTTTGAGTTACGGACTCGGAACCATCTTTTGCTCGGTGGCTGTTCACGGTTCCGCAGGGCTTTACAACACGGCAGCGCTTCCCCGGGCATCTTTCTTCTCCTCACAGCCCGCCGCAGGTCTGCGGCTTCTCCCACGAGGCGCAATTCCCGGGGACGGGCCGGACACCCCGGCACCGCCCCGCGGGCCCGGCTCGCCCAATCAGAGCGCCCGCCTCGCACCCCGCGGCATTCTGGGCGTTGTAGTCCTGGCCGGCAAGCCCCTGTAGCGCGCCACCTCGATGAACGGCATTACCCAGAAAGCTCCACGGCGGCCACGCCCTGGGCCGATTTGCCCCTGAGGGCGGTGAGTTGAGCAGAGTGGAAGGCGGGGTGAGCCAATAGCGGGCCAGGGCAGGGCNGCGGTAGCGCCGGGAGGGCGCCCGGCCTGGAGCCGGGCAGCAAAAAAGCAGCGCAAGGTAGGGGCGTTGTGAGAGCAGCGGCTTGCCCGTGTGTTAAGGGCGTTTCTGGTGTCCCCGCAGGTGTGGGAGCAGCCCGGACTCCAGCTGTCCCGGGATGGCTGCTGGGGTGCCTCCCGATGCGCTGGGCCGGCGGGTCGCCTGTGGCACCGACTATGGGACTGTGCGCTATGTGGGCGGCGTGTCTCGTACTGCAGGTAAGCCCCACAAAAGTAATAACCTTCACGTTTTATGGTTGTTCTCTACTTATGTTCTTCTTAGTTAAAAAAACCCAACATTGTCAAGCAGAACGAAGCAACTTACAGTTTGATTTTTCTTCATTGTTCTTGTGTATATATGGCGACTTCTAGTCTGTGTGAGTTGTTGGGTTTTTTGAAAGACGTCTGAGTTGTTAAAAGGAGTGTAAGAAGAACTTTATAGTCTTTTCCCTGATCTCTGTGCTGGCATAGTCAGGAAAGGTAAGAGGCAGCAGCAGCAGATCACCAGACCAGGTGCTCCCTTGATAAAATATTATAATGGGTTTGTGTGACAAGGCTGTGATAGTGGCAGGGGCTACAGGGGTGACATCTTTGAGGAGCTCCTAGAAGCTTTCTCCATGTCCAGCAGAGCCGATGTGTCATTAAAGGACATGGAATGATTCACACGGACATATTTCAATGGTATGACAGGAAAAGAAGAACTTTGTTTTTCTGACTTCAGTATTTATAGATTCTTGACAATGACCAGGGATTGGATAATTAAGTTACCACCTTCCCAATCACACTGGTCTTGCGAAATGTCCATCAAAAGAAGTTTCTTAGAAGGAATGTGATAAACATCTATGTTTACAGTTACTTTCCTGGGGAAAGTATCTAAAACTATGAAAAACAAGATCAGAAGGCTTAGTTTGCAGGGTGACACTGATGCCAGCCGGCTCCAGGGCAGACCTGCCACTGGCTAAGGCTGAGCCGGTCAGCAGTGGTAGTTGTACCTCGGTGAGACCATCTTTAAGAAGGGGAAGGAAAAGAGACTCTTTGCACAAAAGTAGCTGTGGCCAGAGAAGAGCTGAGTGAGATATATGTGAGAGGAACAGCCCTGCAGACACAAAGGTCAGTGAGGAAGGAGGGGAAAGAGGCACTTCACACTCCAGAGAGGAGATTCCCTTGTAGACCTACTGAGACAGGCTGTTTCCTGGCAGCCTATGGGGTCAGCAGGGGTTCAGAGATCCACCTGCTACCCATGGAGGAGGCACACACAGATAGATGCCTGAAAGGAAGTGGTGACCCTGGGGGCAGCCCACACCAGCCAGACTCCTGGTAGACCTGAGAACCTGTGGAGAGAAGAGCCCTGCTGGAGTGAGTTTCCTGGTAGGTCTCGTGACCCTGTGTGGGACTGACACTGGAGTAGCCTTTTCCTGAAGGACTACACCCCATTGAAAAAAGGGTTCCACACTGGAGTTCCAAAGGAAGTATCCTGTAGCCCATGAGAAGGACTTATGTTGGACCAGTCCACAGAGGACTGTCTCCAAGGGAGGAACCCGCACTGGAGCAGAGGAAGGACTTCCCTCTTTGAGGAGAAAGCAGCAGAAATAAGGTGTGATGAACTGACTGTAATCCCTATTCTCCATCTCCCTGGACCTCTCATGGGGAGGAGGTGGAGCCCAGGAAGGAGGGAGAGCTGAGGTGAGGGTATTTTTAAGATTTTATTTACTTCTCATTATTCTACTCTGATTTTGATTGGTAATAAATTCAGTTAATTTTCAAGGTCAAATCTGTTTTGCCTGTGACAGTAATCAGTGGGTGATCTCTCCCTGTCCTAATCTCAACTCATGAGCCTTTTGTTGTATTTTTTCTTCCCTGTTCATCTGAGGAGGGGAGTTGACAGAGTGGCTTTGGGTGGGCACCTGGTATCTAGCCTGGGCCAACCCACTATAGATGTTCAAATTTATGGGAAG